ATTTCTTGGACTTGTATTGTCATCAATTTAAATGTTTTCTGCCCAAAAAATTAAATCAGATCAAATATATTGTTATTGTTTAAAAGTGTGGAAACACGACTAAATCTGAGAGGCATTTAACAGACGGACTGAATTTATCTTAATCACAGAAGATTTTCCTTTTATTTTCAGTTGATAAAACATGAAATATTCACACCTCTGACCTGATTCGGGGCCGATAGAAGAGTGGTTGAATCATGTGACTTAGAATCAAATAAAAAGTTTTAGATATTTTCTAGTGTTTTGTTGCAAAAGCAGTAAAGAAATTATCATATAAAATATTCAGAATAAAAGTAATCCTGGCTCAGTTAATAACCTGTTTCTCAAAAGGTGATTTCTTCAATCCATTTCTTTTACTGTACTTCACAGACCCTGTCAGCCTCCCTCTCCTCACTCTCCCCTTTCGTCTCGGGGAGTATGGGTGCATGTCAAGTGATTGTTGAATTGAAATATTGATGTGGAGTATCAAAGCGTGGCGTAGCACTCCTGTGTTTCCAGAACTAACCACGAAGCGCTTTGATCAGATACTCCTGTGATCTGACTTCTGAAGTTGTTAAGAGTGCTGGAAAACAAAATGCAAACAAACTTCAAGTGCTCTTGGTATTGATAAAAGTTTTCTTTGACAAGCGGAGATATGTGCTGTCTGCCAGCGTCTGCCCAAGACTGGAGATTTTGGGCTTTTCGTACATGCTAATGGACATGAGATGAGGGAGTTATTATGGTTTTCTGCTTCTCGCTCACCTAACGCTGCAAACTAAAGGGGGTGGAGATCATTGTAGAGTCAACTAGCTATGAGGAAAATCTAGAATTATATGTTTTGTGCTTCAGTTTAATTCAAATTAAACATATTTGACGTTGCATTGTTTTCACAGGAAGCTAAATACAAAATGTTGTGTGAAAAAAAGACAAAATAAATATGTCTAAGATTTTATAGAAGACCAATATCAATTATTTACAGGAAAATCCTACTTTGTTGTTGTAATTTTTAATGAATTAAAGGTTATTTAGAGATAATTTCTGGGTTTTGAGTTTTTTTTTTCTAAAACATAAAACTGCAAAGAGCTTCTTAAAAAGTCTGTAGAGTTTAGATCCAACAGGACCGAGGAGCTAACAGCTAGTATGAGCACAACCAGTTTCAAAGGGGAATGCTGCCATCATAAAACAGCTCAAACCTTTAAAGCATCTGTCAGTTTCTCATTACAGTAATAATGATGTGGCATTCTATGGTTATTCAGAAATGTAAATATCATCAGCATCCAGGAAGTAAACTCCAGATGGAAAGTTTTAATGTTTCTTTCAAAGTAACCTTGTAATGAAAAATCAGTGTTTGTATGAACCAATGGAAACAGTTTTAAACTGGGGTTGTTTTAAAGGAACTGTTCTGAATGTTTGAAGTAGAGTTTTTTTTTATAAATGTTGAAAGCAATCAGTATTTAACTGTTATTGTAGCCTACATATCTCTTTAAATGACCTCCGTTAGAAGAAACAAAGACTATTTTGATGGCATGATAGACAAGCTAACGGCTAGTCAGAATGGGTCCAAAGTGCCATCATGATACAATTCCTCAAACTACTAAACAAATGTTGTTTTATACGCATTCATACTTATGACATTGTGCACTGCACTGACATGTTCACAGAATTCAAGCTTTTTTTGCTGGTTCTACTCATGCTGAAGCACCAAGATCATGCAATAGGAAACCAACTGCTCTGGCGAGCTGATACCGGTAGCTTCCAGTAGGGCATGACAGTGGCACAGGAGTTAAGTGCTCATCCCGTAGTCGGAAGGTTGCAGGTTCGAGCCTGGCTTAGTTTGTCGCTGGCATTGGGCAAGACACTTAACCCCCCTGGCCTGCTGGTGGTGGTTGGAGGGACCGGTGGCACCAGTGCTCGGCAGCCTCGCCTCTGTCAGTGAGACCCAGAGCAGCTGTGGCTACATCCCCACCAGCATGTGAATGTGTGTGTAAATGAGTGAATGACTGATTGTGTTGTAAAGAGCCTTGGGGGATTCCAGGACTCTAGAAGGTGCTATGTCAAATCCAGGCCATTTATCATTTACCATTTCTGGACATGACGAGGCTGCGGAAACGGTCTTCTGTTACTATTGCTGCACAGTAACACATGTAGCACCATCAAACAGTACAGTACATACCAAATAAGCGGTGCTGCAGCGTTGTTGCCATTTCTTCTGCCATTGTGCAAATCCTGTTTTAAAGGGATACTTTGTTACTTTTTCATATTTTCAAATCAATTTCTTGAGCCAATGTGTGCTAAAATGACCCTTTAATGTCACCCAGCCCCTATCGCCCCCTCTGGCCAGAATATTCCACTTGCAACTACAAACTGGCAGGCCAGTTTGATTTTAGTTGGCCGTTCAATCTGTTTCTTCAAATCTAGGTTATCCGAAGAGCTGTCAAGATATTGGTTGTACATAACCTTTCTAGAGAAACCTTCATCTGAAGATATGAATTATCACTTTAAGAAGGCAGAAACACACTTTGGCTTCAGCAAGTTCTAACTAGCCATTAGCTCATCAATCCCGTAGAAAATAAAGTTTTCTAGGACAGTAATTGTTTATAACCTTTGCAAAAAAACACAAACACAAAATGGGTAAACTGTCGCTGATCATTCTGGTGCTTGATAGAATCAAACAGGAAGCTTGAACTTGGTGTTGTGTCGATATTTGATTTTTGTGATGTCAGCAAGCCTCTGAGGAAAGCGCGTGAGATTAATCACATGTGTACTGTACAGTGAGCAAACTACTGCAAACGTGCATCTATGCTCATAACAAACATCTCTGAGTCAGTAAAGAAGCTGCACAGAGGAACAGGCTAATCCCTGGAGGATCAGGTTGTAGCTCTATAAAGTCCAGCTGTTGCTGCTGTTCTTCATCCCACAGAAACAAGAGGATGGACATAATCACACCATCTTGCCCCGTCTAGGCTTGCTGAATGGTTAAAGAGTGGAGCACCACAGTTAGCTGCAGGCCTTTGCATGCTGGCTGTCTGTCTGCCCACCTCATCCATTAGGACACATTTGTCACACGAGTGCTGTAAAAGCAGCTCTCTGACACGGCCACCAGCACAAAGGCGGCTCTGCTCTGCTCTGTCGCGGCCCGTTTTCAAGTGCAGATGGTCAAGACAGCTGGGACAATTTAGTGATCTGAGGCTCTTAAATTGCCCCCCTAGGCACGATTTTAAAAAAACAGCTTGAGTACATGCTTGCATATTCTACAGTCAGGGTTTAGGAGGAGGATTGGGCCTGCAACACAAATCATTTGTAAAACCATTTGAAAACCTTTAGAGTACAATCACAGAAACGCATGAAAAGTTTTTGAAATAAGTTGCTTTTATGTTTTCCTGGGTGTGTTTGCAGACTAGAAATAGTTGCCGGAGAACATCTGCCCCATGATGTTGGGATTTTAGTGAGTTTTGAAGTTGCTGGTCGCCACCCAGTCAAAGCAGCGCGCGGCGGCAACATGACGGAGCGGCTCTGATTACTAGCAGTCTCACCAGCTGTTTAATGAACACAGGGACCTCTTTCACTGGAAATTAGTTTTCCCTTGAATGCTGCTGAAGCCTTATCCAGGTCTATTTAAATGAGGTAACATGGGGAAGGTAAGCAACCACCACATGAGCATTGTTTTCACAGTTCAAAGTGAGGAGAGAGTACTTTGCACTTCAAAGACACTCATCTGGGAGCCAGTACAGTGGGGGAGGGGTGGCGTGAGGGGGGTAGAGGGGACAGGAAATAAGAATCAGGGTAATTAACAACTTCTGCTCCGTAATAAACCTCAGACAGGGTACACTTCTACCTCCAACATGCACACGTCTCCTTTATTGCTGTGTTTTTGCCTCAAAATTTGTTCTTTTAATCTGGAATTAAACCAGTTTTCCTCAAGGCTGTTTGTTAATCTGTGTCATTTGAATTTAATTTAAGATTATAGGCTTTCTTACAGTAAAAATTGTTCATTTTTTAAATGTAAACCTAAAATCTAACAAACATTGTTTGGAAAGTACAAGTGTGATTAACATGTTTTAATTGAACAAATAGAATTAATTACAAACTGTTTCTACTCTGTTTAAAATCTGAGATAATTTAATATTTGGTCTGCAAATCAGTTTGTGTTTAAGTGGAATTTCCTGCAGGAATAAATAATTCTTCAAATTAATTATTTTTCTTCTAAATGTTTAATTAAAAAAATATCCAATAAAGTCAAACAGGCTTTTTTGATTCCTTTCATTGTTGTTTTAACCCTAATCTCATATAACCCTAACCCTCTGAGTCTAAATTTAAATCCAAACCAAACAGAGTTCTGATATAAATCTTAAATTAATGTATTTTATATTTAGAAGCTTTAGTTTAGATCTACATCTGACTTTTAGGTGGGATGGGTCATTTCTCCTCTGGGTGAGTTTATTTAAGGATCACAGCCTGGTCAAACAGTGAGGAGCACATAAGTGAAAAAGCAGGAATTTACATGAGAAGCAGGTTCCCAGCCTGGATTTAAACTCTTAACATTGTAATGGTGAACCCAGTTACAGAATGAGATTAAGCCCCAATCTGCATTAAATGGAGCACATCTGAAGCGGCCTCTACTTGAACCCTGAAATGTGAGAATGTCACACAGGGCGGCCTTTTTCTGACGCGTCGCCTACCAGTGAGAGCTCAGGAGGCTTTGATTGAGTTTTATCAATTAGCTTTGTGAAAGGAACAAATACAGTGACTTTCTTCTCACATCTGCTAATCCTGGACTTTAAAAAAGTATTCTTATTAAACTAATTACATGAAACTACTTCCACATGTTTAATTTGTTTGTTTTGTTAAACATAAATGAGAAATGATGCTTCTCTGGTTTTTAGAGACTCAGGTTTTTTCCTCAAACACGCATCACTTGTGCCCGACAAAAATAAAAACTCCTGCATTTTCCCGTCTTTCCCTATAAATCCCTCACAAAGGAGCAAAAACCGTATGCAAACACTCCCTCAGCGAGTACCGCTTTCCACTTAGTGGCTGTAAAATTCTTAGATCTTTTAACAGACTAAGCATTTTGTTCCGGGGGCCAAATCTATTCCTAGGTGGGAGGATTTGCTGAAATACAAAACTTTTTGAAATGTTATTTTTAATCACTGGTGATTAAAGGCTTCTAATTTTAAACCAAAGTTCACAGGAGGTTTTCAGGGAAGTCGAAGGAGATTTTCAATGAGAAAATGAACTTTTTTAAACAAATCAAAGCTTTTATTTTTTTCCCCAGAACAATTGGAGGAGGAGTCACTTCTTGGGGTCAGCATTTGGTTGAAATTGAGTGAAATTATGAGTAGCCCACCCCTTCACCTAACGACTCCCCCTTCCTCCCCTCCCCCTCTCCCCATCCTCGCTTCTATTGCCTGCATCACGCTGGAGACCCCGTTGAGAGGATCTTTTCTCTATAAGAGGAGATGCAGCTCCGTAGCCTCTGAGATGATCGCTCGAATTTACGGAGGCGCGCTTCTCCGCTTCTAACTTCGGACTTTTTTCGGCTGTTCCGACAGATTTGGACGGTTGGAAAACTGAAGGACTCTTCTCCATCTTTTTTGTGTGTGTGCGTGTAAAAACGAGGAATCTCTTGTTCTGATTTGTTTTGAGTGCTGTTTTATTCCTGACTCCCGAATAAGAGCTCCAGTTTTCATTGTAGTTTAGATTTGCGCGTCGTCGCCTCTTGGAGCGGTTTGCGCTGCAGGTGCTTCCAAAGGGAGCGCGAGGACAGATGGCTGCGCTGACGATACAGAGGACTGACAACTTTTTACACACCTTTCTCCAGGTTTGATATATAAAAAAATCCCACAGCTTTGTGGATTCACCCTGTTTTTCCTGCTTTTCCTAAATGTTTACACCTAAAATGAAGCAAATGTTCAGATAAAAAAGCTAAATGTTTTCTTTTAGTGTAAAAATTAGATAAAGTACACAAGACTAATAATAATAATAATAATAATAATAATAATAATAATAATACAATGAAAAATAAAGTCAAATAAATAATTATTGGTTGCATTCAAGTTTGATTCTTGTCTTAATGTTTTAAACGTTAACTTATGAAGCAGCACTTAACCTAGTGTGTGTTTCCCACACAGGACCGAACGCCCAGCTCCTCTCCAGAAGGAGCGCCTAACGCCCTCTCCTTCCTGGCCACCACCTGCAGCCAGGCCTGGCAGGTGGGGGGCACCATGGCCTCAGACAGTGCCCAGTTCCCCTACGAAGGCACCGTTAGCTCCACCTCTGGGATGTTTCAGCTCTGGAGCAACGACATGGCGCCCAGCACGGCCCTAAGCACGCATCAGATGACCTTCACTGTGCCCAAGGTGCAGTTTCCAGGACACATGCAGTCAGGCCTGGGTCATCATCACCATCACCATCACCCCCATCACCACCACGAGCTGCCTCTCACCCCTCCAGCTGAACCTGCATCCTCCTATTCCTTCGAACTGTCTCCTGTTAAAGTGCTGTCTTCACAGCCCCAGGCCAGCAGCCCGTATTATCCTCAGCACAACAGCGTGGGACAAAACTTCCCAAGCTTTCTGCAGAACTCCTCCGCCAGGCATCACCTGTCAGGAGGCCACATGGAGGAGGCACAGCAGTGGTGGAGCCTACCACAGACCAACACAGCTCCTGCCAACCATCCCTTCACTCTCGGCAGGCAGCTTGTTTTAGGTCACCAACCGCAGATAGCTGCCCTCCTCCAGGGCACATCCAAGGGTCTGCTCAGCTCCACGCGCCGCTGCCGGCGCTGCAAATGCCCCAACTGCCAGGCGAATGGTGGTGGGTTGGAGTTTGGGAAGAAAAGACTGCACATCTGTCACATCCCCGAGTGTGGTAAGGTGTACAAGAAGACATCTCACCTGAAGGCACATTTGCGCTGGCACGCCGGAGAGAGGCCCTTCATCTGCAACTGGCTGTTCTGTGGTAAAAGCTTCACCCGTTCAGACGAGCTGCAGCGGCACCTCCGCACACACACCGGGGAGAAGCGCTTCGGATGTCAGCAGTGTGGCAAGAGATTCATGAGGAGCGACCACCTCTCCAAACACGTCAAAACCCACCAGACCAGGAAGGGCCGGTCAGGGCAGCCTCCTCCAAGCACAGAACCGATGCTCACCAGCATTAAGAGAGAGTGATCTCTGTGGGGTCGCCCCTCTGATCAAACAATCTGCATTAACCAAACTGTGGAATTCACGCTTACTGCCATAGATTTGCACTACAGGGTACACATTAAGCCCCCTGATTTGTTTTGTTTACCATCAATCCTTTTTCTGTTATTTTGTGATGTTTCGCTGCTTTCAGTGAAGTTTTACCTGCAAACTAACCGGTAATTTAAATTTTGACTGATGCGAAAATCTATTTTTTAGCAAACTTCAAAATGTAAATAATTTATCCGCAAAAGATTTTACAAAACCGACGACCTTGACACAAAGATCACGTTGAATGAAAATGTTTACCTTTTGAAATAATAGTTTTTATCTTTTTTTTAAAAATAAACAAAGCGTGTGTTAATTAGATTTTTATTCCTAAAAACATCTCTCTGTTTGTTTGACTCAAGCTGAGGATCTCTTTTGAAGTGTAAACACGCAACTCTTTGATCTGCGGATTTATCTGCTCTTAGGAAGCGATGTGATGCACCGACCCTGCAGATTAGCAAACATTCAATAATTTAAAGGACGTTTGTAATTTATGTATGATCAGCGCAAACAATTTATTTGGATTTTGAGCATGTACATTTTAATGAACACTTTGTCTTTGTTCTTATTATTTCCTGCATCAATAAAAATATGATTTTAAATCCATTTTATTTGATAACTGTGTGAATTTCAGTGCTGACTCACTTTATTTAAATGATAATTTGATCGCCTTCAGAATATAACCACCAGCATGGTGGGCTGTTGAAAGATCTCCACACCTCCAAGTAAACACTCATCCCATTGATGGGGCTGTTTGTCTCGCCTGCTGCAATCAAGTTCACAGTCATGTGGTTTTAATGGTGTTTTCTTTTTCTCCAGTAGAGAAAAGATTGAGTCAACAGATGCAACAGAGGGCAGTGGAGAGGAATTCCCTGTGAATGGGACCCCTGTTGCCGAGACCCCTCCACGGTGACAGGAACTCCCTTTGATTTTGCACCCTTGTGAAAGTTAATACCCCCTCCTGCCCCGAACCACCATATATCACAGCCGCCTTACGACGGGCCCCGTTTTACAGCCCAGAGTGAAGCTTTATTCAGCCAAGCAGATGTCTGCTCATCCAGGGGTTACTTCTCTTTGTTTGTAATCCTATTTGAACTTCCTCCAGTGGGAATCTGAAGCAAGAAGCTCCGGAGTGGAGCCTGAAACCACAAACACTAAATTTATACATTTATGGGGCTGTACAGAAAAACTCACGTAGACATGATTTATAATTTAGCTAGTAGGTAAAAACAACTCAAGTTTATAATTTAAGCTCTTGCAAAGTGAAATCAACCCTTTTCTGGACATTACACAGAAATACGTAACTCAGCCGAGTTTCAAAAAGACACTTTTTATTTGATATGATACAACTCATGATCAGTCAGACCCTCTCCTGCGTTTGGTTCTCTGTAGAGGTATTCCTTTGGGTTTCATGCAAAACTGATCGATCAGTGATTCCCATGAGAGCTCACATTAAATCAGACTGTGGTCTGGACATAGATTACTCATGTTTTGTTTCTGTTATGACGTTTATTTTTGAATTTCCTTTTGTGTAAGATGAACTTTGAAATGTGAGGCCTGTTGAGATCTTTGGTGCAGCTGTATGTATGAGGAACTAGAGCTGGTTCTTCTGAGGACCTCTGGCGGTCAGACCTGACAGGACAGAGCGTCTCTTCTGTGCTGTAAAATCCTGTGATTGTTTTGTCAGAGTAACGACAGCCCAGACTGCAGAACAGGAGTGAAACATTTCACTCGTGAGCTGCAGCTGTTTTTTGGCACCGTTCAGGAAGAGGGAGCATGCAGATCAGTGGAACGACCACCCGGGGCACTCCCGCCTTATTCTTTATCTACTGCTTCCATGGTAAGCACTGTACAGAATGTAACTGATGAGGGTAAAAGCTAACAGAGGTTATAGAATCGGTGCAGAGCCTTGACATGACGACAGGACTAACAACACTACTCGTATCAGTTCAAATCCAGAGCTCCACTCTTCCACCTGTCATTACAGAGCCGTGTAAAGCTGTGTGGAGCCAGTTAGTGACTGAGAAGATGCACTGCTTTGGGTCAGCACAGGAGGCCCTTCCTCCTGAGGAGTTGCCTGAAGAGCTATGAGGTGACGTCATACCCACAGAGAACCTCCAGGGGGCTCCCTCACGCCTTCTTGTCCAGATCAAAGATGGGGGGCCCAGTCAAACAGAATATCAGAGCGCTCAGGGACTCTCAGCGCTGTGGCAACAAAGAAAGTTTTTCACTTTTAGATGAAATTTGAGTGAATCAAGTTCCTGTGATGCTTACATCAAATGTTCTGCCTCTTCCTGTTCTGGTCGTCATGAAGAGCAACCTCAGTTTTCAGCAGGAAAGAGAAAAAAATAAACACGTTCATGTCTCTGTTTGTCTTCATCATGGGGCATAAGGATAGACGTTTAATGCGGGGGGGCATGAAGAGTGACCGCCACCCCTCGCCTGCTTTCATGCACACAGACACACCCACATGTTGTTTCATACATTTAGGCACACACGGGACTCCAGTAACTGCCCCAAATAGGAATGGAATCATTGAACAAATCCCCGGATTCCTTTCAAAGAGTTATAAATGCTAACTCTCTAAAAGGGTAAAAAGCAGAAGTCATAGCAAGGAGTGTTTCCTAACTCTGAGTCCAGTAGCATCCTGATGGGTGCAGTTCCTGTTTGCTGAAGGTGATCACCTCCCTTTAGGCGTCTCTCTCTCTCTCTCTCAAATAGAAACATAAAATGAGCCGTTTTCCCTTTGATATCTGAGGATTATAAGTCCTTCAGACGTCAAGTTCCTTCATGATCCTGCAGAAATCCTGATGGAACCTTAGTTGAGGATCCAGTAAACAAACAAGTGATGTCTTCACAGCTGTAGAGGTTGTTCTCCAGAAACCAGGAAGAGTTCAAAGGTCATCCTCAGCTAGCTGGGCAAGGTTGCTGGGACGCCGTCCAGCTGAGGGGCCTGACAGTGGAGCCTGGCTCCCAGCATCAGAGGCCGAACTTCTACGGAAGCTCTCCACTGCTCTCTGCTGGGCATACAGAAAACATTCACCACCCAGTAGGAACTTGTTTTCAGCTCACTGAGTCTACTGAATTTTAATTTATTTTTATTTTTTTGCAAGCTTTCTTCATGCATTCAATGGAAAACATTCCAAAAACCATGCATACAGTATATTTCCTAATAACAAATCATCTAGTGTGGAAAAGTTTTTGGGTATGATAGGCATCTCTCCGACTTTTTGATCTGGCTTAGTCTACTTCCTGTTAGAGCACACAGAGACAGAAGTGGAGAATTATATCTGCCTGACAGCGGAGTCCCTCTGAAGACAAGAGCCCAGTGATGACAGAAAACAGGTTGATAACGATCCTCCAAAACCAAATGACAGAGCTGCTGCTCTCTGAGATCCTCTGATAGAGTCGTGTTTTATCTCTAAGTAAAAATGTCTGACCTAAACTATGATCTCATTAATATGTCTACTTTTTAACAGTTTATTTTCATCCAATGGGGGAGAAATAACTTTTCTTTTATGTCAGTAAGCATCTTCAATAAACGTGTCCTTAAAAACACGTATAACTTACTCGAGTAGTAGATCTTGTTAAGCAAGTTTGAGGTTTTGTTTGTCAGTATTCAATTCAATTCAATTCAATTCAGTTCAATTCAATTCAAGTTTATTTATGTAGCGCCAAATCACGACAAGAGTCGTCTCAAGGCACTTCACATATTAAACATTCCAATACAGGTCAGTTCATTTAGCCAATCAGTAAAAAGTTTCCTATGTACTGTAAGGAACCCAGCAAATTGCATCGAGTCAGTGACTTGTGTCAGTGTCTTTACAGCAATTCTCATCTTCCCCAACCTCAATCCTTCCTCATTGTTCAGCTCATTTAGGGATTTGATTCAATCACAATAAATAATGTATGGTTGCATGCATAATACCTTGTTTTTAACCCTGAAATGCTGATGTGGAGGATACACTACCTGTGGTCCCTGTGTGGTTGAGTTGCACAGCCCATTTGACACAGCTGGACAGTTTGGCTGGTCGGTGAAGCCCAGACGTACGTGTGATGGAGAAACAGTGTGGGAGTCAGCAGGGCACGGCTGGACTGCAGCGGTCTGCAGATGCAGGTGAGAACAGGTGAGCCAGGTGTGTGTGTGTGTGTGTGTGTGTGTGTGTGTGTGTGTGTGTGTGTGTGTGTGTGTGTGTGTGTGTGTGTGTGTGTGTGTTGTATAAAGAAAAATTAGTTACTTACATCCGCCAGTGAGAACGACTCGCTTGGTCCTTGGCTCTGGTTTTGGCTCGGCAGGTAGAGAGCAGGCAGAGAGGTGTTGTGAGAGTGGAGGGAGGGCATCTTGTGTCGGTCTATGGAGGCAGACGAGTGGGGCCGCAGGGCGCTCGCCGCAAACAGGGGGGGCCTCATGCTACGGCCCAGGCTGTTGGACTTGCTCTCTCTCCGCTGATACTCAATAGGTGACTGTAAGGCTGAAAAATAAAACAAAAACTGAGCTGAATTTTATGGATTCATGCATTTAAGTTCTTAAGCTTTAGTAAAGATGAAGGCATGAATTAGTTGAGAGACTGCAGCATTTCAGTGCAACATACACACTTCTTTAGTTAATACTCGTTACATCATGTAATGACTTAATTTCCATCCTGTGTTAATGTTTCAGGACGCCAACTACTTTTTTAGTTACCTTCTCTGAATGGATTGTTTACATTTAATTGATGCTGTACTCAAAGTTTCACACCTCCATGTCTAAGTGTAAAAAACATCTGTTTCTGACATGTTTGTTAAACTTGTTTTGAAGATTAAAAAAACATGATATTTAACAGCATGGCAGCTCTTTTTCTAAAATTATACACGCAAACCAAAGACTTGATGACTGTCTCCGTAATTAAAAACAAATTCATTTGAAAATATTGCAAACAGGATCAGGAATGCTGTCTCTTGGTCTGGAGCGGTTTTAGAGGCTGTAGATTTAGATGGAACGGAAAAAACGTCTCCTGTATTTTGACATTTCACAAGGTAAATTTTACTTTAGGAATAATAAACGTTTTGTGAGATAGGAAAGGGATAACACACATAATAATCAGGTTATTGTCTTAATCTATGGTTTTACAGACTGATTCAACAACAAATAGGAACTTTAATAAGTGAATTTGACGCAGGAGAGAAGTTTAGACTAGCCTTACCGTTAAGGAAGGTACGCTGACTTTCCAGAATCTGAACCACATCGAAGACCCAAGCCCTGCAGGTCTCTGGAGAAGAGGCCTGCAGCTGGAAGCGTACCACACTCCCATCTGGGTTTCGTGAGGTCAGCACAAAGCGTGTGTCATCTCCATCCATGCTGGGCTCCACCCCCAGGCAGCTCACCTGGGATGAAACACATCTGGCTCACAACTGGTCTCCTGCTGAATGGCTTGTTAAATAACACTGTACACGCAGGGGTTACGTAACACACTAATTTGGGAGGGAATTAAAGAGGTGTGAATCTGTTGTGTAACTTGTATCTTGGGAGCGAGTTTCTTTAGTCTAACACATTCTTTACGTAAAGCACCCACCTTGATGCTGTTCTTAAAGATGTATCCAGGGAGCGAGAAGCCTTTCTTCCTGTCAATGGGCTCACTGAAGATGACCAGCTGCTCAAACAAGAAGATTCGTCTGTCTTTGGCTCGAGACAGGAAGCTACTGTCCTGCTCTGTGACAGTGAAGGTGTCCTGCTGCAGCAGTTTGCCCTGCGCCGTGATCTTCCCCTGGTGCAGAAAAAGAACAAACACAGGAAGTGGCTAGAGTTCTTGTTTATCCAGCGGGAGAGCTGCTGTGAGTCCTGAGACGTACCTCGAAGCCTTGCAGTCTGCCCACATTCATCATGTCATTGCAACGCTTTGGCACAAAGCACATCACTTCTACTGCTTTCTGTTCACGAGAATATAAAGATGACATGTCTTTAAAATGTGCAAACCTCTTTTAAAAGTCAATTTCTTCATCAGGACACCCACCTCCAGCTCTTCTGTGTCCATCCCTGCTTTGGTGTAGTATTTTAGAAAGTCCTGTTGAGATAAACACAGCATGGTCACTGGAGCATGCCAGGTTTACTGCCAAAAGTAAGCTGAGGGCATCTGGTGGAGTATTTATTGACATTGAACCATTCATTGCAGCGCTGCAAGATGAGCTATTGCGTTTACAGTGGTGTGAAAAACTATTTGCCCCCTTCCTGATTTCTTATTCTTTTGCATGTTTGTCACACAAAATGTTTCTGATCATCAAACACATTTAACCATTAGTCAGAGATAACACATGTAAACACAAAATGCAGTTTTGAAATGATGGTTTTTATTATTTAGGGAGAGAACAAAATCCAAACCTACATTGCCCTGTGTGAAAAAGTAATTGCCCCCTGAACCTAATAACTGGTTGGGCCTCCCTTAGCTGCAATAACTGCAATCAAGCGTTTGCGATAACTTGCTACGAGTCTTTTACAGCGCTCTGGAGGAATTTTGGCCCACTCATCTTTGCAGAATTGTTGTAAGAATTCAGCTTTATTTGAGGATTTTCTAGCATGAACCACCTTTTTAAGGTCATGCCATAGCATCTCAATAGGATTCAGGTCAGGACTTTGGCTTGGCCACTCCAAAGTCTTCATTTTGTTGTTCTTCAGCCATTCAGAGGTGGATTTGCTGGTGTGTTTTGGGTCATTGTTCTGCTGCAGCACCCAAGATCACTTCAGCTTTGGTTGACGAACAGATGGCCGGACATTCTCCTTCAGGATGTTTTGGCAGACAGTAGAATTCATGGTTCCATCTATCACAGCAAGCCTTCCAGTTCCTGAAGCAGCAAAACAACCCCAGACCATCACACTACCACCACCATATTTTACTGTTGGTATGATGTTCTTTGTCTGAAATGCTGTGTTACTTCTACGCCAGATGTAACGGGACATTTGCCTTCCAAAAAGTTCAACTTTTGTCTCATCAGTCCACAAGGTATTTTCCCAAAAGTCTTAGCAAAATTGAGACGAGCCCTATGTTCTTTTTGCTTAACAGTGGTTTGCGTCTTGGAAATCTGCCATGCTGGCCATTTTTGCCCAGTTTCTTTCTTATGGTGGAGTCGTGAACACTGACCTTAATTGAGGCAAGTGAGGCCTGCAGTTCTTTAGAAGTTGTCCTGGGGTCTTTTGTGACCTCTCGGATGAGTTGTCTCTGCGCTCTTGGGGTAATTTTGGTCAGCTGCCCACTCCTGGGAAGGTTCACCACTGTTCCATGTTGTTATTTGTGGATAATGGCTCTCACTGTGGTTCGCTGGAGTCCCAAAGCTTTAGAAATGGCTTTATAACCTTTACCAGACTGATAGATCACAATTATTTTTGTTCTCATTTGTTCTTGAATTTCTTTGGATCTTGACATGATGTCTAGCTTTTGAGGTGCTTTTGGTCTACTTCTCTGTGTCAGGCAGCTCATATTTAAGTGATTTCTTGACTGAAACAGGTGTGGCAGTAATCAGGCTTGGGGGTGGCTAAAGAAATTGAACTCAGATATGAAACACCACAGTTGGGTTATTTTTGGGTTATTTTTTAACAAAGGGGGCAATTACTTTTTCACACAGGGCAATGTAGGTTTGGATTTTGTTCTCTCCCTAAATATTAAAAAAACCATCATTTCAAAATTGCATTTTGTGTTTACTTGTGTTATCTTTGACTAATGGTTAAATGTGTTTGATGACCAGAAACGTTTTGTGTGACAAACATGTAAAAGAATAAGAAATCAGGAAGGGGGCAAATAGTTTTTCACACCACTGTAGGTGAAGCTTCACACATAATTTAATGATCACCTTCAAAGATGTTTACATAATGTTGATTAAGTTCCCTGGTAGGAAGGGAGCTTCATTCTGAAATGCGCCTCTTTTACGTCTCGCTTACTGGAAACCAGACAATGTCCTCAGTGTGTGTCTGGTTTGTGCACGTTTACACGAGCTTCTATGTTTACAGCTCTGTGACTCTGGTCTGTGTGTGCACGTGTATGCATGAGTATGCATGAGTTTTGTTTTTGCACCTTGAGCAGAAGCTGGTACTTCATGATCCTCTGGACGGGTTTGATTAGCAGGTCATTGAGCTGCAGCCGGTGGCCCAGTTGTAGCCGGAGCTCCTGACAGCCCAGAGAGGGACAAACAGCATCAGGACCATGGTGATAAACGCAGCTTCTGATGGCCAATTTAATTCTTCTAAGGCTAAAAGCCGCTATGACATACATGCAAATTTAATGAAATAGTTCAAAATGTCTGAATTTCTAGATGAACGTGCTGCTACTGCTGCAATTTTGCTTGCAAATAAGACATTTTTATGTAAATAATGAAAAAGTGACAGTATTGTAATGGTTTGTTCAAAGGCCTGTACATTAAATGAAATGTTTAAGTTGTGAAGTGCCTTGAGGCAACTCTTGTCAGGATTTAGCACTCTATAAATAACTGAATTGAATAGAAAATCCAAGATAAACGACGGCATAAAAAGATGAAAAATTAACTGCTGGTTCGTAAAAATATTTTAAAAAATTACTACAATTAATTTAAATATTGTTGAGGATGTAAGACAGAAAAAGTAGATGCTTCTCACCTCAAAATAAGTCTCAATATACTCTGAGACGATGTGCTCTGACTTGGGCTTGTTCTGACAGTACACTACATACATATGAAGACGCCTCTCCTGCAAGAAAAACAAACATCACTCTGCAAAAAAGCATTTTCTCTCTCCTCTTTGCAAATGAGAGTGTGTTTTATGGAAAAAATAGTATTCTTTTCTATTTTGTTTGTCTGACTGGATTTCTTTATTGGGTTGTTGTATCCGTTTTGTTGTTTGGATCAACAAAATGTGTTTATCATGTCATAGTCCCGTTCCTGTTTTCCTGTCGTTTGACTGTTACTGATACGTTAAAAGGCTTTAACAAGAGCCCCGGGGTGAGAAGAATACATCTTTGATTTAGATAAAAAGTAGATGAAATGTCCCTGAAAGTGAGGAAAAGCAGCAGCTTTCAGTCTGTGCGTGTGCATGTCTGGTAGGGGATGAAAGGAAGCTGAACAACAATCATTTGTCTCCCAGCGCAGCGTCTTTGAAGCTGACTCTGGTAGCACCTACTCTTCTGTAACTAATTGGCATGAGAGTGCAGATGTGGCGGTGCTGAGAGGACTAATGGCTCTACATGAAAACGAGCATCAGGTTGTGTATAATTTACACAGGTCACCCCCGGTGCAACCAGAGCCATCACAGCCCGTTGATATCAGACTGCACCTAGCAACAGGCTGCAGGACTGTGTAGCCTGGACAACAATAAACACTGTAAAAGAAGACAGAGGACACATGGACAAGTCTGCTGTGTTCACGCGTGTTTACATGTGTGTGAGAGCTCACGTTGCATGGTGACATAGATTTCATTAACGTAGATTCTGCTTATAGGGTCATAATCCCAGTCAGCTTGTTTTCACAGTTTGACACCACACGCAAGATTCTTTCTTCGTTCGCTGTTTTTTTATTTAATTATCTGGTGGGCTGAGCTTCAATGTGTTTCAACAAAAGCTGTTATGAATGTCTCGGGGGAAAAAAGAGATTTTTGTGTAATTATCTTTAACCATCTGGAGGCAGGCGTTGCAGATTTGCAACATTAAATCTTACCTACCTGGTTACTCCACATGTGTATTTCATGAGCGTTTTTTAACTCAGAAGTACCCCTGAAGGACTTAGTTGTTCGTCCTTTTATCAAAACTTATTTTGAGCCTGAGTGGGTTAAAGGTGTAGTTCACTCTGGTAGGAACGAATACCTAGTAAATTGTTCTCAGGGGGGCAGGTTTTGGAGTTTTATTTCTTGATATTTGAACATCTTGCCTTGGATTAGATAACAGCAACACAACTCTACCACCCACTTGAAACGTGGATGTTGTAGCTCCTCAATAACTCAAGAAACTTCTGCTGTGTGGTGATGTCGCTAATGCTAATAGGAGTAGCAGATTATTTTCATGTTCAGCCTGCATGAAAAACTCACAGTGACTGATTATAATAATGACAATAATCAATTTAAAAAAACTTTCAAAAATGTTTTAAAATTAGGGTTAAAAAGTATTTTTCAGTCAACCATATCTAGTCTGCATCAATTAAACAATTAAATAATTATAATGCAACTCCTTTCTGGATGACCTCTTTGTGGTGTTAATTCCATTTTGTTCTTAGAAATAAAGATTTAAAAAATCAACCTTTTTGTGTTTGCTTGACCAGATTTGACCTCTAGTTGCATCAGAAACAAGAGAGAAGTGGAAGGAGCGAAGCTAGAAGTTGGGAGAGGAGCTGCCAGCATTTCCTTTCCTGGCTTTTTTTTTTCTTTCGCCACACAAAAACACCAAGAGGAAGCAGACCCAGACCTGCACACTCCACCAGCCTGTGTGTTGATATGATGTGTCAGTTACTCTACTGGACTCTACTGTACTCACGTGTTTAATAAAGAGCTGAGCCAGCCTTTCGGGCTCGGTCAAACACTTCTCCAGCTCTCCCAGGAAGTAACTGCAGAAAAATGCACACAGAGTCAGGCGTGTACACACACACACACACACACACACACACACACACACACACACACACACACATACACACACACACACACACACACACACACACACACACACACACACACACACACACACAATCATCTCACAAAACGGAAGTTCACGTTTTGCCTTGTGAACTTTTGTTCCTTCGTCTTCCACTTGGACACAAACACATCACCACAGTTTTCTCTTCTCTCTGTCTGTACATAGAAATGACTCACTTTTTGTGCCAGTCGAATATTTGATGAATGTTTCCAAAAACAATCTTGTCCTTTCCGTTCATGTCCTCCGGTATGCCTTTGGAGCTCATTGTGGCTATGTAGCCCTGCAGAGGGAAGGATATATCTGCTGATTTCTGCTTGTTTAGACCAAGGAAAATGCCCAAATGCCACAAAGAGCCAAACTTCTGACATTATTCTGCTTTTCTTCATTTTTAGAGTGCGAGAATCTTCCCAAAACTAAAATATCTGCAGCTATTTAAGGCACCAGGAGATGGATAGCTCTGTAATATAAGACTCCTCACAGGCTTAGAATTCATAAAATCTGCTTAGGAATGGAGACGAAGGGATGGAAGTGGAGCAAAGCGTGGAGTGAAGTGAAGGGATTGTGAAGATTAGGATTTGGAAGGTCTCTTTGAAATACTGGTTGGATAAATGTCAGAGCAGATTGTGTATTCTCAGAATGTGAGGTTTACCTCCACGATGAGCCCCAGGTCCTCCACGTAGTACTTCTCTGTCTCTATAAGCTCCTTCAACACGTACCTGTAAAGAAATAAATAAGGAAGGATTAGTCTTGTGTAGCAGTTCACTGAATTTGGTTCAGATACACAAATGCTTCATGGCCAAGCTTGAATAATGTAATTCGAAGATTTGATGCATGCGAGGAACTTGGGGTGCAGGTATGTGAGGGGTGCGGGAATGGTTCCCCTCTCTGCAGTTCCATGCCAGCCTACACCCAGTTTTATTTTTTAAGGCATTCATGCTGATGCACAGGTAGGGCCATGGCGCTGAGCACACTCAACGGTACCTAGAGGGGAGGGGGTGTTGACTCAGCTGCTGGTGCCCACTCCCGATCTTAAGCTGCATGTACACACTGAGAGTTCTGGGGCTGGGCAATAGGGATGCTGACACCAGGTGGTGTAAGCCAGCGGGTGTCTGCGCTGCCCCCTAACTAAACCCTAACCCTAACCCTAACTAAATGGCTGGGTTACATTTAGGTGAAAATCACCCCTGATCTAAACTCATCATGGACATCTAAACTGACACAGATGAGCGTGGGAGGTGGGGTAAATGTGCAGAAAATGTGCTGCTGTCATGTTTTTGTCTCTCTGACTTATTTTTAAGTGACATCATCAGCCCTCACAACTGCCGGCTGATTTGTTATTAAATCTGAGTTAAATGACGTGGCAGCTGCACTCGAACACAATAATATCATGCATTGTAAGAATGAACGTGATTTATGCTGAAAGGTGACCGATACCTACATGCTTTTCTCTAAGGCACTTCTCCTCTCCTCCTCGGTGTCGGCCGCAGCCGAGCATTGGCTGGAGGTGTCCTCTGTCAAGATGCTGTAATCTGGCAGAATACTGGTGGATTCTGTCTCCTGAGGATGCAGAGACAGACAGACAGTGTTTATCAACCGCCTAGCGCCATTGACGTGGATCATGCCAGGAATGAAGTAAACAAAGGCAAATAAAGAACAATGGTAATGATGCAGGTTGCCAAGGTGACCAGCAAGAGCAGGCGGGTACGCGAAAGTGAGATTAAAGATGAAAAGAACGGATTGCTGCTGTTAACGACTTAGGCTGTGCAACACATTACAGAAGATAGAAGGCGAGTAAACGAGCAGCAAGCTCAAAAGTTGTAGGAGGCAACAAAACAGTGTTGGATGTGTGAATAACTAAACGGTTCATCCTGCTAAACTGCATCTATGTGAGCAAAAGTGGTTTAAATGTGATCAATAAAGTGAAATGCACACAGGAAACCCCCAACCTAATCAATTGGGCTCATGTGCTGCACGCATGATCTCATTTATCTGTTACTTCCTGGAACTGATATAATTTCCTTGAGCTGGGTTACCGGGGAAATGTAGTCATTGTCCACAAAACAACAAAGACTAAGATCACGATATGTGACACAGAGCTTCTCGCTAAATGCAGTGTGTCCGTTAATTACATCAACTTGTTTTGAAGTTCTTGGGTTCTTTGAGACATGATTCCTTTATTTTAAGGCTTCCATCAAGGAATGCACATTACCCGCCATTATTCATTTTATTTTGAGAAATTTTAACACTTGAAAGCCACTCAAAAATGTTGGTTCAAAACTGTTTTTATCACTTAAGAAATATCTCCACACTGCAAAGGTTGGTGTCAAAACATAAACTTGAAATGGTTATCCATGCCTTTATCTCCTCCCGTCTAGATTACTGTAACACACTCTTCGCATGTTTTAACAAAAAGCCCTTGACCGCCTTCAGTTGGTCCAGAACTATGCAGCGAGGCTCCTAAATGGAGCAAACAGAAGAGCTCACATCACTCCTGTTCTGATGTCTCTGCACTGGTTACCCGTTACCTTTAGAGTTCATTTTAGAATCCTAGCTATAACTTTCAATTCTCTGCATGGTCAAGCTCCTCCCTTTATTACTGAACTGTTAAAGCCTTATGCTCCAACTCGAGCCCTCAGGTCCACACACCAGAACCTTCTAGAACAGTTGTCCTCAATAGGCGGCCTACGGGCCCCCTCTTTGTGGCCCCCGAACCCCGCGTGCACGAGAGGTGTGTTGTCACATAGAGGGCTGGTGTAATTATCAGACAGCAGCAACCTGAGAGCAGCAAAGCATATTCTGGCTACAGGGGGCGATAGGGACTGGGTGTCCTTTCCATTAATCATGTAAAGCAGGGGTGTCAAACTCAAACTCACACGGGGCCGAAATGAAACTCTGGGACGGAGTCGAGGGCCAAACTTAATATTTTTTGAAAAAGTGACGGCAAATTTGCACATTTTCTTTATCAACATATATGCAATTTTGAACCTTTAAATTTGGAAACAAACTTATTTCTGCATTAACACTGAATGTGGAACAACCAAATGACACACGAGCAAGTCAGTTTTAAATAAAACACATCAGTGGTATTCATTACTTGTGGTATAATCAGCATTTTTAAAATCTATTCAGGATTTATGTTTTCATGTTTATTCATTTTTCTTATTTTTTATTCTCCTTTTTTTCTCCAGTAATACGTGTCATTGCTGCTGTGACATCTAGCCTTCCCCACTGAGGAACAATAAAGGGATTTTTGATTCTATTCATCTATCTGCAGCCTTTCCACTTCCTGTTTACTGTAGGTTAAATCTTTTCTCACGGGCCAACAACAAAATAAAAATATCATTTTATCTTAAATGAAAATGCAACATCTCACCTGTTAACTTTCATGTTTTGGAGCAGAAAAAGAGCATAAAACCAACATATTTAAAGCTCAGTTTGCTCCACTGGTTTACTGTGATGCTCACCTGTTCCAGCCAGATACCTGCATCATGGGGTTGATCTGAGCTGAGGAGGAGACTCCTGTTGTTTTGTTCATCTTCATCATAATAATGACAACATTAGATGACAACACGTGCTCACAAAGGTTTGTGCTGCTGAACATGTCTGAGCAGCTTGACCACGTTGTTGTGTGTCGGGGAGGAAACACAACCACAGAGTCGTGCTGGTTTGAGCGTGTCGCTGCTCACTGGAGTTATATCAGCTCTGTCTGGGCGTTAGTTGGAAAACTTTCTCTTTCAGTCGTGAACACATTACTGAGCGGTTAAAATCTCCATTTCTGGCCTTCAACATCAGAAAACAGCTGAGTGAACTCGGCGCTGAGTGAGAGGAGTGTTTAGTTTGTCCGAGACAGCGGAGCCGCAGACACCGGCAGCAGGCGCTGGAAAAAACACAAAGGAGGGGGCGCGTCGGCTCCGCGCTGACGCCGCAAATCATCATGGGAGTTGAAGTCTTTGCGGTAAAATCGGCCAGCGGGCCAGTTTTAATATATTTTTGATATTTATCTCGCGGGCCACATAAAAATGCTCCGCGGACCGCATCTGGCCCGCAGGCCTTGTGTCTGACATATGTGATGTAACGGGTAATTTTAGCACATACTGGCTCAAGAAGATGATTTAGAAATATGAAAAAGTTTCTAAGTGTCCCTATAGTGAGAAGGATTTTGTGCAAACAACTTTATAAACATGTTATGAATCAACCATGGAGCTATTACTCTAATATGTCTCCTTTAAACTTGGCTTTGCTAATGTGGATGTAGCTGTAGCCATCTTGAATTTAGTTGAATCCAAAGTTAATCAGTACATCCAGCGATTAGTTTGAGATCAGAATCTGCTCAGGGGTTCATGACGAACGGGTGACTCTCACCCAAAGATCGCTGGGGTTTGGCACCGGCCCCCCATGACCCTAGTGGGGAGGAAGAGGTTCGCATAATGGATGGATGGTTCGTGAGATGTTCTGCTTAAGCTCACACATATACACACACACATGCACGCGCACACACACAAAGACAAAGGTAAAAACAATATTGCCAACCTTTCACATTTCATTGGAGGGTGATAATAAAGTTAGTTGTCTTCCTTCTCTGACTCAGGCAGGAACTCCATACCTCAAACATACACACGCATGCACACGCACACACACACACAAACCTACATAAACTTACAGACATACACCTAATCCCTCTGACTCCCTCAGCAGACAGCTGTCTTAAAGGCAAATAATTTCCAGATGTGCTGTGGCAAAGCCCACGGGGGGAAGTCCTGCTTCACTCTGCTGTAAGTTTTGTTTTTTGTTTTTAAGCATGAAAAATAACCAAATGCAAGGAATTCAGACCAATCTGATGTCATGTCATACATACAGTATATTATTAAAATATCTTAATTATTTAACTGATTAGGATAGATTGTACAAAAAAAATGAAAATGTAGAACTGAAATTATTGTTTTAAATTTTAGAAGGATGTGAAATTGATATGTTGGTTGCAGGGCAGCAGTAGCTGGGGTGATAGAGTGGAAGGCTGCAGGTTTGAGCCCAACTCTGGACAGAGAATTCTGCTGTTGTGTCCTTGGGCAATACACCTAACCCGCATTGCCTACTGCTGGTGGTCGGAGGTGGTGCTTGTACTCGGCAGTCTTGGCTCTGTCAGTGCGCCCCAGGACAGCTGTGGCTGCATTGTAGCTGATACAGTGTAGTGTAAAGAGCTTTGGAGTCCTCTGACTCTGAAAGGTGCTATACAAGTGTGGATCATTTATCATTTAATACAGTATGTATGTCAATTTTCTCCCGCTCCTTCTTTAACAATCTTACTTTCAACAAAAGGATAAAATAAAAAAGCTAAGTCTAAAATCTGAAAATCATTCAAAACTTGAATTTGTTCCAAAGGTTTCCACCTAATTTTGATGGTAATAAGAATCAAAAGTTGCAGAGAAGACTGAAAATCAATAAAAATCCAGCTCATTGAATCTGGCATTAAAAGGTTTGAGACAAAATGACTGCATGCTCCCAAAAAATGACAACTTGAATGAAGGAAAATTCTAAGGCAAATAAAAAGGACTATACTACACATTGTTTTGTTTTTGTTTTTGTTTGGTTGGTTTTTTTTCTGAGAATAATGCCACATTCTGCATTTTGGCCTCATAGTCACCTCTGAAAAAATAAACAAGTCGAAGGTGTTTTCAGCCCAATCTATTGAAAAATCAAACACTTGATGAAAAAGTGTAATAACAAGGCTACAGGATTTTAAGTAGAACAGAATCCTCTATCGAACTAAACAGGAAACTTTTTGCTTTCAGAGAAATTGGTCTTAAACCAAGAGGTGATGCAACATGGAGGTAAACACACAAATCAAGCAGTGTTTCCACTCAGGGCAAACACAGAGGCATGACATATCTGCTAATAAAAATTCCACCGGATGGCTTTGAACACATCTCATAACAACAGCTGCTCTCCGTTCCTTTAACAATTTATTTTCTAGTTTGGGTTTCGAAATATTTTGTCACTGGGTCACTTTGACCCAAAGGCCCAAAAACGACTTCAGGAAAAACAGTTTCTCAATAAATATTAAGAATTTCTTTCTTTTGGCACTACATTTTATTCAGGAGATTAGGTCCTCCCAAAGCTGTTATATTCAGAACTGGACACATAAAAAATGCTTCATAAAACATATTTGGAGGCAGATACGTGAATGAAATCAAAACCTGTGATTTCATCGCTTTATTTCTCCTCTTTTGTCTAGTTTTAATGCTGCCTTCAAAGAGCAGCAGTAAAAACACCAAAGTGCTGACCTCATCCCCCTGATGTAATGGCTCTAATGCCTTTTGATGAGCTGTTGAGAGTTAAATTACATTTTAAGTGCTCAGGTGTTGATTCACAAACAGGAAACTCTCTAATGCTTCGGCATCATTGTCTCATATTGAAAGGGCTCAGGCGCAGCTCATTCATGCAAGCGGGTTTCAGGTTCTGGCAAGCTTCCAGTCTCAGCAAAGGGTCCTCATGAACACACAATGAGCTGCCTCCAGCAAATGCAAAGGTTAAATGGAGAAATGGAAACCCATGTGTCCATGTGATGCTTTTTTATCTCATCTGTCATTTTTCATTCATCTCCAGGCTTGTTCTATTGTAACATGTTAAATGTGAGACATACATCATGCAGACTGCTGTCAAATGTTGCCTTCTGGTCCCACAAGCCACACTCTGCTTTGAAGAAACCTTGTTTTCATTCAGACTTGCTTTATCCATATGTGAGAGTTTACTGGGCCACATGTGTGCTAAATAACTGATGAAAAAAACTCAAACATTCTGATTTCGACAATTTCTTTTTTTTTCTTTCTTTTGACTTAACACTGAGCACCTTTATGGAGCTAGGATTGGTACATTATTACATGTAACTTGTTCCAAGGTTTGTAAGTTGTAACACGTTTTGTAACTCTAACTCACATTTTGCAACATGTAAATTTTGTTTTGTAGCATGCAATATTTGTTGTGTAACATGTAACTTCTGTTTTGCATCACGTAACTTTAGTTTTGTAACATGTAATATTTGTTCTGTATCATGTAATTTTTGTTTTTAACACGTAACTTTCATTTAGTAGCATGTCATTTTTGTTTTGTCAAGCCTGATTTATGCATCTCCGTCTGTGTCCGTGCGGAGACACGCAACGCCATTATCCGTCCTTGCGTAGGGCACCGGCAGGCACGCAAGTACGTATGGAGTCAAGCCCACTTTTTTAAACATCCGTCGAACGAGACGGATTACGCAAGCTTGTGATTGGTCAGGACGCCGCTGTTGTTTACAGCGCCGCCATTGCAAAGAGAGCCGAGGATAACTAGCGGCAGACACGGAGAAGCTTGAAAAATACCTTGTGAAAAAACTCTAAAAATATGAACGTTTAATTCTCCCGTGACTGGAGGAGTGAGAAGATGCGCAGCAAGCGTTTTATTTGTGGACGGAAATGACAGGAAACATGGGTTTAGAGGTGGGGAGCGCTAGCCTGGCAAGCCAGACTAAATAAATATATTATTTAGTCTGGCCACGCTCCATTGATGGCTCTCGGTTGTGGGGCGGGTTCTACCGTTGTCTTTCAAATGATCTCTGCATTCCACTGGACAATGAATGTGACATACTCTTGTTTCACTCTGTTGCATCATCCCACCCACCAGGCATATAGAGTGCCCTGATTGGCCCACAAAGTGGATAAAGCTCTGTGATTTGTTCACTAAGCAGATAGAGCACTATGATTGGCCCACCATTATGGACCAATCACAGCTCTTTGTGTGTTTGAAACCCCTCTAGAGAGCTGTGATTGGCTAGCCAGAGTCCTGGTAGGAGCTGTGGAGGTTCCAATGGAGCATGCCTAGACCAAACTTTGCAAAGCAAGAATTTGGTCTAGTTCACTAGGCTAGGGGAGCGCATGAAGAGGTGAGAGAATGAGAGACAAATATGTCTGTGTTAAAAGTCTCTTATATACATAAAAAACACAATATAAACACACTATCTTGGACCCATACATGACAGGATACCACAGAACAGCGCTACACCCTCTGTTGTCCTGCCAGGCAATTGCTTTGCAACACTCTCCAGGAGACGGAGAAGTATGAGAGCAAAACGCTTCCGTTAATCCGTGCGTGTCTGTCCCTTGCGGAGCTGACGGAGAAGCATAAACCAGGCTTAACACGTAACATTCGTTTTGTAGCATGTAATTTTTGTTTTGCGACATGTAACTTTCATTTTGTAACATTTAATTCTCATTTTGTAACATGTAACTTTTGTTTAGTAACTCGTAACTTTTGTTTTGTAACACGTAACTTTCATTTTGTAACACATAATTCTCATTTTGTAATATAACTTTTGTTTAGTATCTCGTAACTTTTATTTTGTAACACGTAACTTTTGTTTTGTAACATGTAACTTTCATTTTGTAACACATAATTCTCATTTTGTAACATGTAACTTTTGTTTAGTAACTCGTAACTTTTGTTTTGTAACACATAACTTTTATTTTGTAACACGTAACTTTCATTTTCTAACACATAATTCTCATTTTGTAACGTAACTTTTGTTTAGTAACACGTAACTTTTATTTTGTAACACGTAACTTTCGTTTTCGTATCATGTCATTTTTGTTTTGTAACATGTAATTCTCATTTTGTAACATGTAACTTTCGTTTTGTAACATGTAACTTTCATTTTGTAACACATAATTCTCATTTTGTAACATGTAACTTTTGTTTTGTAACACGTAACTTTTATTTTGTAACACATAATTCTCATTTTGGAACATGTAAATTTTGTTTTGTAACATGTAACTTTCATTTTGTAACACATAATTCTCATTTTGTAACATGTAACTTTTGTTTAGTAACTCGTAACTTTTGTTTTGTAACACGTAATTCTCATTTTGTAACATGTAACTTTCGTTTTGTCACACGTAACAACAACTTTAATTTTGTAGCATGTAATTTGCATGTAAGTTAGATGTTACAAGTTATAATGGTACAATTTACATTACATTGTACAGACTTGTGAATGCATATTATGCCTTGGTGCAACAGAGGGAGGTGTCATGTTATTTTTTTCACAAAGGTTGATGACTGTTGTTACGGTAACTACTTTGGAAACCTCCCTTACTTCCTCGTAACAAACAAACTAATAAAAAGCCGATTCCATAAGTTACATGTGACTAAGCTGGTAACAGATTTAACTTTATGTTATTTTCCTGTTGGACAATAAAAATAAGTACAGAGAACAGATCCGTTAGATTAGATGTGGTTTTTTTGGTGCCTACAGACCTGGGGATTTGGCAGTGATGTGAAGCCAGTCAACGAGGTTGTCATTAAACTGTGTGGCTGTAGTGAAGCTGGTGACAGGTCTTCAGGACTTGCTAGGCCGTCTCTCGACTCCTGAAACGCAAGCACAAACACTTTTGAAAGTATGCAAAACGTGCAAAAATAGCATAAAATCAGCTACTGTCTGCAGCATTCGTTTGCATCCACACACAGAAATTCAAAAAGAGAAAATATTGAGGTGAGTCCAGCTGAGCCAGCAGTGGTCCTCAAAAGTCAAACTTTCCTCTGTGCTGTTACTCCTCAGCTACCTAACGTAAACAAGCCATGGCTGTTCAGGACGTTGGCTGCAATTCCTGTTTATGTAAGACAGTAATTATGCATGTTTACCTCCAAACCAGTTCTTAACAAAGGCACTGCCATGACATGATATGGGCATAATTTAGCTCTCCAAGTTTACACAAGAGGTGGTTCACATCAAATGTGCAAAACTAAACTTGGAACCTGAAGCAAGCGTGCAAGTGTTATTTGATTAAGTTTATGAGAGCGCAGAACAAACATCCCTGTCATGACTCTCACCAGTTCTCTGTGGGTGACGGGTAGAATGGTGAGAGTCTCGTTAGACTTCGGGGAGCTGCTAAGATTTTGGCTCTGGCTGTTGGATGGCAGAGATGAAGGTTTCCCATCGAGCTTCCGGACTTGACGGTCTCCTTTGGCAGCGGATCCGGCACTGAGTTTACGGACAGGGTTTGTGAGCCACTTCTTCAAGGTGCTTACAGAGCGCCTGGAGCCCGGTGAACTTGGGGCCGAGCTGCCCGATGGCTGCGGGGGCAAGGACGCCACAGAGGTGGAAATGCTGCCTTCACTGCCTGCTGCTGAGTACGAGTCTAGACAAAAACGAAAATAGGTCAATCTGATAACCAGTTAATAAAGATTGATGCATCACATTTCAAACTGCTGTTCTGTTCAGCTAAACCAGAATTTTTTAGTCTTCATTTTAAATGTTATGAAAAATACTCGGAGCATTTGTGTGCTGCACATGAGAAGTGAGCTGAGAGTTCACTGAGACCGGACATCCGCTTTAATCCTGAGCAAGAGCCAGAGATTGTTTGTTTTTCCTGCATTGTCTTCAATTCCCATTCCTCATCCACCCTAAACTACAGCAATTTTCTTTTTCCCCTAAAGCATCCGTCTGCAGAATTAGATCTGATCAGCCATCTGTACTGTCACGTTTTCCATCCATCTTTGTGTCACAGACCTCTGACCCTAAATCACCTACAGCAGAGTTATTTCTCTCTCTCTTGCTGCTTACAGACACAACGTTTTACCGCTGAAATGCAGCAGCAGCGACTTAACTCAATTTTCAGCTGAACATAAACTGTTCACATTAAGTTTTGGAGAAAATGTTCTTTGCATGATGTTTCTATTAAGTTTGTGAATTTGGTGCACATGTGTTTATAAACAGATAACACAGAGTTCATTCAGAGCCTGATCTTATCACGGCTCTCAGCAGTAAGATCCAAATTGCAAACAAAACCTGCCCCATTATGCAGGCAAGAAATGATTTTAAACCCTCCTCGGGGCTTGTGCAGAATGCAGTTAATACATACTATCAATTTATTTTGGTGAAAGACACAATAGAAGCCTCTGTATCGATCAGTTAAAATGTTTTCAGTGCATGAAACCTTATAGTGCATATTTTTTATAACAGAAGAAACTTTTTTTTCTCTGTGTTTTGCCTGAATTGTCTCAAAAACAATGTGTATCATTTGCATGCTTTTAGGGAGCTGATCAATGTTTCCTTCTGCAGGACTTAGACTGAGACTGGCTCAGTATGAAGTAGTATTTGGTCAAATAAGGTTAGGCTGAGCACATCGAGATGGCACGACATAAACAAAACCTTCAAAAAACAGTCAGGCATTTCATTGTGGGTTTTTTATGTTGGCTGAAGGAAAACTTCTGAAATTATGGAAGTTGGGAATTTTTTTTGTCATGGGAAGACCAAGTCACTCCCATCTATTTCCTGCCCATGAGTCCCCTACAGTCAAAAACATGAATGGGAGTCTGAGGAGCTCTGATGGCAGATACTATATCCATGAAATTTAAAGACACATTTAGATTATATGAAAGCACTTATTTTTTGTCGGGTGGCAAAAGTCACTTTACAAGGTCAAGAAGAGTTTAGTGAGCTTTGTGTCCTTTTTTCCAGTATGAAAAAAGTGGCATTAAATGTGGAGAAACCCATTAAAAATCCGATCATGTGGAAAGTGACAGCTACGCTGGGGGAGAAAAGATGCTGTGGTGACGTCGTATGTGCAACTTCTGATTTGTAGTCTTTAAATTTTTTACAGGCAAATAAATTTCAAATTACATGACACATAATTGTTTATCATTTGAATCGAACTTGTATGTGAGTCAAGGCACAAGGCACGCGGGCCAGAAAATAACTTTATGGCTTCATTTATACATTAATTTAGTTTTGGTCAGGGGGCGCGTGAGCCAACCAGAAGGAGAGGAGGTTTGGGTTCTCTGGATGTCAACTTTAAGGAAGGGGGGAGGTACAATTAAGGACAAATAATGACAAAAAATTATCATTGTTTATCTGTGGTTGGGTTGCAGGGACAGCAGCCTTGCCAGGGAGGCCCAGACTTCCCTCTCCCCAGCCACTCGGGTCAGGTCCTCTGGGAAAATCCCAAGGTGTCCCCTGGCCAGCTGTGAAAAGTCCCTCCAGCGTGTCCTGGGCCTTCCTATAGGTCTTCTCCCGGTTGGATGTGACTGGAAAATTTCACCATGGAGGCATCCTAACCAGATGCCTGAGCAACCTCAACTAGCTCCTCATGATGTGGCAGCAGATCTACTCCAAGCCACTCTCTGAGGGAGAGCCCAGACACTACAGAGAAAAGTAATTTCTGTCGCTTGTGACGGTGATCTAATTATTTTGGTCTTAATGCCCAAATCGCCGCAGACGAAGCATCAATCCTCCTAACGATCTTACGCTCCATCTTTCCCTCACTTGTAAACAAGACCTGCGTCCCTGACCCAGAGAAGGCATTCTACCCTTTTCTGACTCATGGCCATGGTCTCAGATTTAGATGAGCCGATTCTCATCTCAAATACTTCACACTTGGCCGTGAACCACTACAGCAAAATCTGGAGATCACGGTCCGGTGAAGCCAACAGGACTACATCATCTGCAAAGAGCAGATGATGACAATCCTTAGGCCACCAAAACGTATCCCCTCAACATCTTGGCTGTGTCTAGAAATGCTGTCCACAAACTTTATAAACAGAATCAGTGACAAAGGGCAGCCTTGCCATGGCGGAGTCCAACTCTCACTGGAAACGAGCTTGACTTACAGCAATGCAATGCAGACCATCATACAGGAACCTAACAGCCCGTATCAGAGGCCTAGTACCCCATACTCCCAAAATACCCCCCCACAGGGCCCCCCAAGAGACGTGGTCAAACACCTTCTCCAAATCCAACATGTGTTGATTGAACTCCCACACACCCTCCAGGACCCCCCTAATGGTAGAGAGCTGGTCCAGTGTTCCACGGCAGTGACAAAAACCCCATTGCTCCTCCGGTGTAAATAAATAAATGAATAGTTTTCTCTTCTCTTATATTCCTTTTTCAAACAGCATAAGACTGTCTGACCCAGAGGAGACCGACACATATATGGAGTTAGACATGCCCCCTGCACCCTAGTGGCACCACTGTGAGGGTCACCAGGAAGGGAGACTATTGTGAGTGGTGATCCTCCCACTCCAAAGGTCAAACCAAGACGTTTTGATTTCCCAGAATAATTTGCTTAGCTGAGAGTTCTTTACCCAGAACTACCGGCCTTTTTAGGCCTCAGCCGTAAAATGAAGGCTGACACCGATTCAGCATCTGGAGGAATCTCAACTCGAAAGCCATTTGATGAGGTTCTCTGCATCACAATGATGTAAAGTCAAGGACACAGATTTATGATTCACAGGCCATACATCGTTTATAGAGCACGCGTTATGATGACCATCCTTTGAGCTGTCACCATGGCAACGTTGCATTATCACTGTGCTCTATGCAGCGTGGGTCAGTTTTCCTGTTGACCTTGTGAAGTTTAATCTCTTCTGTACAAACCGTCACAGAGGCATCTTTTTTCACGCTGTAGGAAGAAAATGTCAGTGAAATGATGAGGTGCCCATCAGAAAAATGACACGCCTCTGGTCCACCCCCACCCCCCCCCCCCCACCCCCCCCACCTCGCAAGATACATGACACTGATATTGTTATCCAACCTCCACAGAGAAAATTGAGAAAAGCCCCCACCCCCACCCCCACCCCCGCCTCGCAGCCGCCCGGCGGCATGCTGATGCTGCTCCATGATATCCATCTACATAATGGGCCATCTAAGAAAAGATTACCCTGGCTGATTTTGTTAATGCAGTTTGACTGTTTTTGGGGGGCTTATGATAATTAACAGCTGAGAGCGAGCTGCATTAAGCCGACCCAATGTGTGGTGATTTGTTATTGCTGGGCCTCTGCCTGTCGCCCACACTCGCTGTCTGAAAGGCTCAGTGGCTGCTGGGGCTGGAGGCTCAACCACAAGTGCTGCAGTATGTAAGTCCAGAGCCAAAAAGAGCATCTGCTGCTTTCTTCCTGACATTGTTCACTCAACTGAAATCTGATCTTATCATTGGGGCCATTGTGAAACAGCTTAATCACTGTGTAATGTTTAATGACAACTTGATTTGCACTGATGAATATAAACTTACAGCCTGATTTTGATCACCATCATTTTAAATATGCATATGTAAATTTAAAACCTGAATTCCTTAAAGGTGTAAGAAACTCATTTAATCAGCACATTTGCAGTGGTCTCTGGCAGGAATGAATGCCTTGCAAGCCATACTCAGGGCAAGAAAGCACAGACATGGCAGGATTTGGAGTCTTATTTCCTGATATTTGGACATCTTGCTTCGGATTGGATGACAGCAACGCAACTCTACTACTGACTTTCAACGTGGATGTTTTATCCGCACAAATAACACAAGCCTGGAGGAGTTTTTCTGTATTTGTGTGTTGCTAATGCTAACGGTTAGCTTCTACTAGTCGAGATGTTCTCTGCTGCTTCCTGAATGCTAAACCAACAACAGCCTTCCCCGTCATGAGTCAAAATGGGTGAGTCCATGAATGTCAATTGACACTGTGATGTAGATCTGTCAGATTTTTCAAATCCCAGAGTTTCACCATTTATTTCCTGTCAGAAGCTAATGCAGGAGATACAGTAGGTGTAGGAGACTATTTTCATGTGAGAGGGATCGATTATAATCAGAAATTATCATTCAAAAAAGTTTTTTTTCTGTGTACCACACCTTAAATGTTTGGTTCAATAGTTTAACACACATTTTAAATTTGGCATCACGTTGTTTTTGCTGCACAAAACGGGAAAAAAACGACTAATAAACCAAACTTTTTTTTAAATAAATGGTGTGTTTGACTAAAAAAGTAAACATTTTGACATTTATTATTATTATTATTATTATTGTAACGTCACCAGACTATTGCTATTGCCATAGCAACTAAACCCAGTAGAAGAGAGAGTGAGGGACAGCGGCACAAGAGAATATTACTGATTCATAAAGAAATCAACCTACACATGTGGGCACGCACAACCAATCATCCTACACCGAGCAACAAGTCCACGCTTGGCTGTGACACATAATACAACAATTAGCACAGATTAGCACAGACTGATTTTGAGATCCCACAGTTCATACAGTATGCACAGCCAGAGCAAATAACCCTGGCTACACACATTTTGCTGTATTTTAAATGGTAAATGGCCTGTATTTGATATAGCGCCTTCTAGAGTCCTGGAACCCCTCAAGGCGCTTTACAACAC